GTGAGGCATCCTACACCCCCTCTTTCCATATCATGTTCAGTATATCACATAACCTAGCTAAGGCGTCTCCCGTTTCGAAGAGATACGGTTGGAAATATGCAGATCTTTGCATATCTATAACCGTGTCTGCTTCAATATCCATGTTTTTGGACAGCCCGAGGATGTGTAGATGGAGTTAGTTTCCATGCTCTACTCGGATCCGAGGCGAGTTTTGTAGCATCTCCCTATTGTTCTCTGGATACACAATCTCCCCGCGGGATGTGTATTTGGAGAACAAATGGGGAAAATCTTGCGAAATCTGTCTCGGATAGGAGTAGAGCATGGAAACTAACCCCATCTACACATCCTCGGGTGGGATTAGGACCTATCTTCACCTATTAGACAGTATAGGAACCTGTAGATACAATTGATTTTTATATTACTTGCTGATATGTTAGAGGATGGATGACCGTGAGTGGATGTACACGGGCCGCTCTAGTCAGGGTTCGTTCACCGATGAATGGATTGAGAAGATCGATGCTTTCTTGGAACTAGCATTTGCAAGGGTTAAAGTAGAGCGTGGCACTTGGTGTCCCTGCAACATTTGTGCAAACACACGTCGATAAACAAAGGTGGTCATGGGTAAACATCTTTGCAAGAATGGATTTATGGCAGACTATACCAAGTGGATCTACCATGGTGAATCCGATCGTGTGAGAGACGAGGTCGTGAGACAACGCATCGAGGATTATGATGCTGATGCAGGGGAAGGAGACATGTTAAATGACTATCATGAAGCACACTTCGATGAAGGACGTAGGGAGGAGGAGCCAGAGCCAACCACAAAGGCGTATTACAATATGTTGTCTGTGGCACAACAATCCCTTCACGGGCATGCCAAGGTTTCTCAACTCAATGCCATTGCACATCTAATGGCCGTAAAGTCCCAATTTAGCTTGAGTCGAGAAGCCTTTGATATTATGCTGACAGTTGTTGGTAGCCCGCTCCCGGATGGTCACATCCTGCCAAAGAGCATGTATGAGGCATAGAAACTCCTTCGTGCACTTAAGATGCCATATGAGCAGATACATGCTTGTCCGAAGGGATGCATCTTATTTACGAAAGAACATGCGGAAGCAAAGTACTATGTGAAGTGTAAATCATCTAGGTTCCTAGAGGTAGACTCTGGTGATGGTTAGAAGAGGTAGCTCGCCGTCCCCGTGAAGATCCTACAGTACCTTCCATTCATACTGAGGATCCAACGACTTTATATGACTGAGGAATCCGCAAAACAGATGACATGGCACAAATACGGACGTCGATACAATCCTAAGAAGCTGGTGCATCCATCAGATGGTGAAGCATGGACAAGGTTTGATATGATTCATCGTGAGAAAGCTCTAGAGGCTCGTAATGTACGTGTTGCGCTGGCAACAGATGGGTTCAATCCTTATGGAATGTCGGCTGCCTCATACACTTGTTGGCCCATGTTCTTTATCCCTCTCAATCTCCCCCTGGCATCCTCTTTCAACAACAGAACATATTCTTGTCATTGATAATTCCTGAACACCCGGAGAATAATATGAGTGTGTACATGGAGCCTCTGATTGATGATTGGTCTGTGCTTGGGAGGAAGGGTATGGACATACGACCGAGCTACAAAGACAAACTTCAAAATGCATGTTTGGTACCAGTACTCCCTGCATGACTTTCTGGTGTATGGGATATTCTGGCTGGTGTGTTCACATGAAGTTCTCATGCCCAGTATGCAAGGCGTTTCTGATGTTCATTTGGTTGACGAAGGGTGGCAAGTATTCTTCGTTCAACAAACATCGACAATTCCTCCCTCTTGACCATCTATTCAGATGAGACATCAAGAACTTTATGAAAGATGTAGTAGTTGAAGGCCCTGCACCCTAGATGATGATTGGTGCCGCGGTTCGTGCTCAGTTAGACGCTCTCGAGGCCAATGACCAAGGAGATCATTTTCTGGGATATGGTGAGGAACATGCATGGACTCACAAGTCATGCTTGTGGAACCTCCCCTATTTTGATGACCTTCTACTTCCACATAACATTGATGTAATGCACACTAAAAAGAATGTCGCAGAAGCAATTTTTGGTACAATCATGGACATTCTTGATAAGACAAAGGATAATGTTAAGGCTAGAGTGGATCAGGCGAGGTTATGCAATAGACCAAAGCTAGACATGGCGCCTCCCGGAGGCGGGAAGTCATGGAGAAAGCCTAAGGCCGATTTTGTTCTGATGAGGGCCCAAAGGAGGAAAGTACTAGAATGGTTCCAAACATTAATGTTCCCTGGTGGGTATGCAGCGAATCTGAAGAGGGGAGTGAACTTAGCTACTTTGCGAATCAACAGGCTCAAGAGTCATGACTACCACATATGGCTTGAGTGGCTACTGCCGGTGATGGTTCGAGGCTATGTCCCTGAGCATGTCTGGATAGTGCTGGTGGAGTTGAGCAATTTCTTCTGCCAGCTTTGTGCTAAGGAGTTATCTCGTACCGTGGTTGCATACATGGAAATAATGGCGCCTGTGTTGCTCTGCAAGTTGGAGAAGATCTTTCCACCTGGCTTCTTTAATCCGATGCAGCATTTGATTTTGCACCTCCCGTATGAGGCACGAATGGGGGGGCCTGTGCAGGGCCATTGGTGCTATTCAATTGAGAGATTTCAAAAGGTTCTTAGAACTAAATGTAAAAATAAATGCAAAATTGAAGCATCCATAGCAGAGGCATACATTCTGGAGGAGGTGTCAAACTTCACAACAAAATACTATGCTGACAACCTTCCTAGCGTGCATAATCCACCCCCTCGTTACAATGCTAGCGAAGATGAATTGAACCTTAGCATTTTCTGAGGGCAACTAGGAAGTGCAAGTGGTGCAACTAACAAGACCTTGAAACATGAAGAGTGGCGCACTATTATGCTATATGTGTTGACCAACCTATCCGAAGTGGAACCATACATGCTGTAAGTTCTCAACAAACTTTTTCTCAAGTAGTCACAATTCTGTGTCCAGCTCCCTTGTTTCTCGTTGGTACAGGGAATTTCATGAACGATTCTGGCGTGAATCAAGGGAACCTACCCCACAGGAAACTTCGACCCTTCTTAGAGAGGGTGCGGGAAATGGAATGCCCGATTTCATTTCTTGGTTCAAACAAAAGGTACTGTCTAATTTGGCTCGTACTTAGTTTGACATTACAAGTTGCTCGTACGTGCGACTAATATAACGAACTACCCTGCTTGAACTTGTAGGGACAAACCGATGCGTCTATGAGTGCTGAGTTGAGACAGGTTGCCGATGGTTGTGCCTATAGGGTCAGGTCATTTACTGGTTATGACGTGAATGGATATCGCTTTCACACAACAAGCCACGAGCAGAGTCGGCCCAATCGAAGAACCACAAATATCAGAGTTTTTATGCAAGGCTTAGATGGGGTTGAGTATTACAGAAGAATTGAAGAAATATACGCACTCATGTTTCATGGTTGCAAACATCTTAATCCTGTTATATTCAAATGCCATTGGTTTGATCATGAAGTAGTGAGGCGGACCCCTAATCTTGGGCTAGTCGAAATTTGACAATCATCCGTCTTACCAGGAGATGATGTCTATATTGTGGCTCAACAAGCCACACAAGTTTATTATCTCTCATACCCGTGCCAAACTGTAGACCGTCTTAAGGGTTGGGATGTTGTGTACAAGGTATCGCCACAGGTAAACTACCTGTCCCAAACAATCAAGATTACAACATAGACCCTAACACATATGATGGAGAGTTCTTTCAAGAAGATGGGCTCGAAGGGAGTTTTGAGATAGACTTAACCAAAGCTCAGGGTATGGAAGTAGACAATGAAAGTGGTGCTGACGAGGACACGGGAGACGAGGTTCAGAATGTGAAGGACTTAGAATTACTTTAACGATTACATCTAAGCAATGACGGTGATGACGACATTCCTCCTTCGGAGCACGGGGATGATTATATCGACATGCATGATAGTGATGATGAGACTTACGATCAAACTGATCCCGATCATGATGATTATTTCTAATACATGTATGATCTGTGCTAATTGATTTATTATTTGTCATACCATGTTATTTTCTAAGTATGTTTTGTTTATTTTGCATCTATTTTAATGTATTATCTGTGCTAATTGGTTTACTCTTTTTAATTGCAGGTGATTGAACAATGGTGGGCGGTATAAAGAGGATAGTGTCGCTTTACTCAAA